CTTTAGACCAGGTTTAATGAAGGAGTAAACTTGTTTTGACTGAATTCGGCCTTTAAAATAGATCAATACCTTGCTGGCATCACTCTTGGTTGAAGTAAGCTATAATAACAGCATGAAATAACTGCCAACAAGGCCGAAAGACACAACTTGGAAAGAGTTCCTTATAAGGCCACCACTCCTAACCTAACCCAACCCCACGGTTTAACACTCAGCCCCTAATGTAATTGTATAAGCCCCTCCAGATAACTATACGTGTCCTGGAGAGGGGAACTGAAGGACCAAAGTTAGGATTAGAGTACAGTCTTTGTTGAGTGACCGTGATTAAAGTTATGATTGAGGGGTTCTAGGGATCTCATACCGACATCTATGGATGTTTGGAATACGATACGGTTGCACTAGTACAGGCTCATAAAAATGTTAGAGAATAGGACAACTTATCGATAAATGTAGTCCCTATGTCTGGGTACTGGCCTTCCGCTGGCTACGCTCCTTTTCCCTGTGGAAAGAGTGACCAAGTCTGATGTCCAGGATAGCCTACAAGCACGTGCTCAACTTACCAGGATGTGCCGTCAAAGTTGGTTTGCCATTAGGTGCAAGTTTCTGCAAAAAAATGAGAAAATATTATACCTTCACTTTTACAAACATTATAAACCTTAAACTCGTCTGAAAGAATGCAGCTTACCTTCAAAGTGTATACACGTTTGCCATTATCGTCGAGATAATACATGAGATACATGACTAGTTTCAGTGAACACAGAAAGAAAAATGGCCGACGTGAACAACAAACACGGCGTGGTAGAATGCGCCATCGTCGGTCATTCGAATCAACTACGTTCGTTTTTTGTTGGTTGAGGTACACAGTTAATTTTGGACAAATAGAGGAGATGATGAATCGAAAGAACCACGGTTACTTCTAATAACCGTAAACGAATCCACTATAAATATGAGGTGTTATTACGCTGAATCTGTTCGTCGTGAAAATAGATTAAATAGATACATGTAGAATAAATAAACCAATACATAACATTTCTATAACTACAACACGAAATAATCTTGAGCGATACTCAGGCTCGTGGCTCAGGATTTAAAAGATTAGGGTATTATATAAATCATTATTATTATCTTTATTTATCCTAGAAGACTTGTTAGCACAAAAGAAAGCTAGTATTATCTGCCACAATAGACATAATATTTAAGTATTAAGTCGTCGGGCAGCGCATGTTTTGAATTGTATGTAAACTTATACAACTGAATAATAATAATAAGATTTCATATGAATAATGTTTGCACATGCTTAAAATGTAATAATAAAACAGAGAAAAAGGGGAAACGTTCATATAATATTTGACGATCAATGTATTAAGAAAAAAAGTACACCCAAGAACTTGCACAACTTTTAGTTTATTATAAACCATATCTCATCCATTCGTCCATCTTAATACACAATAGCAAATGGCGTGTTCTCACAAGCGTATACTACGTTATTTGATATTCAAAGATGTCAGCTTTCTTGTTTTGTGATTACGTATACCTACCTTGTTTATTCCCAGGCTACTGTTAAAAGACGCCTCAGCGTGCTTGCCGTAGTCATCTTGACAAACATATTTAAAGGGCAAAACAAATCAAAACAAATGTCGCACAGGCGCAGTGCGACAACTGCCGTCCTTTAACGAAGCGTGAACTCCACGCTTCTGTTTTTCTTGAGACAAAACTCTAAGATTTGTATGCAGACCCAACCATTTCTATTGAATGTCTATACTCAGGTATTATTCCTCAATATATTGTGATCCAATAATGGGTATTCATGAATATTCATAAATAGAATCCATATACTAGTATCATAATTAATGATATGTAAAAGGCATTTGTTTTAATCGTTTGGACATCGATGGTGGCGCCATCATGTGTCTGATCAACTTGGCAAAAATACCACGAATTGTAAAATACGGAGTGTAGAATTATTGGTCGAAATTACGAAAACGGTCACAAAGCTGATAAGACTAATTAGCATAGATACATAGTGGTAGTTCAGTAATAGACTTCAGTTTTGTAATTAATTCAATATAACCAAACATTTCGAGTAATTGAACACATCAGTAGTTATCGCAACTACCAACTACTAATATTAATTCCAGCTTTAAACACAATAGTTGACGAATAAATACCAAAGCATCATTGTGTCAACACAGGTGGCGCTATTCAGCACAGACGTTTGCGGCGATCTGCGTGTCAATGCCAAAGCATTACGTGATAATCGACAACTTGTTTTACAACTACATTTTCAATATGTTTCCCCTTCGCTGTCGGTTTATTTCAGTTTGAGTATGCTGCCCCCAACGATACGATTTTATCCAGCACTTCCATATCAATTGAAGAAAACTGAGGGAAGTGTGTGATTTATACCTCATAAATGACATCTCAAACATTTACTCAAATATATTCATTAACGAGCTGATATGTAAATTAAATTAATCAAAATTGTTCATAGCATTTCATGTTCTACATAGCCAATGCTCCATATACCTTCTCCCAGGGATTCCACTCGTTTCAAGCATGCAATTTATTTACAAGAACAATCTACGTCAGTGTCTAATTTTAGCCCAAATATTACTCATCCATTTTTACCTATCCTCCGAAACCCCACTTAGCAAACAAGTTATGTATTCGAGACAACAATGCCCATACTCAATTGGTTGAACAAATAATCCATAATATAGGACCCCCTGTATTGCATTATCGCGTTATCACTTTTACCCACGTCAATACTGGTAGACATTTTAGTCATTGTTTACTTTTCTCTGAGTTCCCTCCAAACCAGCACTCAGGAAACAACTTCTGAATTATCTTACTTGTCACACCAATGCACACATCGGTATATGTAATAGTGGGCAATATAGTAGTACACATCATATGTATAAACATCCAAGGTAAAAATAAAAATCTTTTACCTCCATGGTATAAGTAATCGGTTCAACACAGAAAACAAGAGTTAATACATGTATAATATGCAATGCAAAGCATGCTGGGAAATTCAAAGGTCTCTGTTGTCACTATTTTCACCACATGTTTTTTTTTTCTTTTCAAAAACGCAATCTTATTCCATCCAACTCCTAAATGACCAATAAACACAACAAAATGAATATATATGTAGTCAGTTCCTTCTTTACATTTCTGTCAATGCATTACTGTGATATTCATTATTTTGTTTTTCAACAGCGTTTTGTACATCTAATTACAATTTAACGGGTGTAGCATTATATTGCTGTTATCTAATCAGCGTCAAGGCTGCTTTCGTCACATAGTTCCCGGAGTTCAATGTCTTTCACACTCCGCACGGTACTTCATGGAGAATGTACAGCATGTTTGTCGGGAGTTGGTTTGGTCGACTCGGAGAATTGTTAATCTTTAATCAATCTGATTAAAATAATCCTAGTTTGGGCTTAATTTTTTGTCTATTTTTTTTGTTTGTTTTCAATATGTTTTTAATTATTTATTTGTACCATACACATGCTTTTACTTGAATTTATTATTTATTCGCTGCTGGTAGTTTTGGCAATCGCGAAAGCCCACATATGCATATGTGATACAAAATAAAATGTACGTAATTAAATTCACGCCGTATTATTAATCAGATTACTCTGTAATAAGCAAAAGAAGAGTTCTATACATACAATATTCACCATAACTATCGGACGAGACTTAACCAGTATATACACCTTTCCGCTGTACATATAGCCGTTATATATATATATATTATATATATATATATATTTAGTCTGTTACCAGCAAAACAATGATCACACACAATTTACAGCTATATATATAAATAGTTATTAAGTTGTAGAATTCTGAAATTCAGAAATATTTTTCATAAGTGAAAAATGAGAAATGTGCAGGCAATTATTACCGGTTCAGTATACAACAAACAATAAATTACACCTTTATTAAAGAATACAGCTTTTGTGGGACAAAAAGACTATCATGTCGGATTGTTAAACGAATCTTTCAACTGAAACGAAGATGTCACTGTTGTTGGAAACGGCTCATTAGATTCTCAAAATATGGCTTGTGAACCGATCTTTGTTTTGCTAACCCATTTTTGGAAACCCATCAAACTGCGAAATAAGGCACTCAAATCACTGTTGTAGGGGAGAGGAGGTCGCCCAATAGTACATGTGATTACCCACAATTGTATGTGATTAAACGTTTATTGGTTGGTAAATGTTGGTAAATGTCATTAGTAAACAACCATCTATAGATATGCTCAGACATTCAGAGTCTGTAAACATATATTTTTTAACTTTTTTTTCTTGGCTGGCTTTCTCCAAACTGACGAACAGTTTGATTTTTTTGCTACACTAGTAGCAACACTACCCAGAGGATTCTTCTCGCAATGACAGTAAAATATAATGGTCAAGTTTCATCCACAGTTGTGATTATTTTACGTATAAGACTGTTACTGATCACAGATTATTTGCAATTAGCGAAACTGATTGATATTTTTTTTTTGCAAATTGGTTATATGCACGTAAACAATCTATTTATCAAATTCCTGTAATATATGTTTATAATCTCCACCCTAAATATGTCAGTTGTTGATTCTAAACAATAGAGCAACGGCGTGTGAACCGAATGTGCAAACAAGAAGTCGCCATAGTAACACAGTGACAGAGGGGGAGCAGAGGGTGCGCGCCCTCAAAGTCTGTCGTTACTCATACACATATATCCCACAATACAATGCTGCAATGACTAGATTGTAAAAGTACGTCCCCCAAACTGAACATACATGTATTGCACCTGCCGTTGAGAATATCATGGGTATAGGACCCTTGTTTCGCTGATTACAATTACATTGTCAGTATATGTACCATTTTCGCTCTGATTAAAAACAATATATGACATACGATTGAAAATGAATGTATTTCCAGGATATAGTAAATATCGATTTGTTTCGTTTCTTCGAATACAAATAAGCCACAGATTGACCACAGATAATGTAACAAAATATATTATTTAGTGTCAAATAAAATATACTATACTATACTACTATAATAAACACATAGGCAAGCAAGGTCACTTGTTAATATCATAATAATCCACGTGACTACCACTCTTGAAAGAGTCCTCTTCAAGAAGAGCTATTAAGGTTTTCATGGTCTGATCGACGGTCAGTAATGCGCCATTAGTCTCCAGATCCGCATAAACCTTTTGCATCTCCGGATCCCCCAAGTTTTCTCGTAAGTCGCGCTGCATGTCGGTGTCAATCGGCCCGGGGGAATAGCTCACAACGCGGACATCTGGTTCCTCTGCAGCCAGAACTTGAAATAACATATCCCTGGCAGCTCTAGACGAGCAGTAAAGCGAGGAGTACTTAAACGGCTGTATGGCACATAATGATGTAATGTTTACCACCGTGCGTCGCAACTTGTCTCTCTTGGGGAAATTCGTTAAGAACTGCGAGGTGACACAAATTGCCGTTGTGACGTTCAGTCCGTAATAATTCTGCAGTTCGAACGGGTCACCAAATTCACGTAGTTTGCTGGAAACATCCCCCAGAGACCCAGCGTTATTAATTAATATAGCATGTTGGAATGTCTCTGGTTCAATGTCAGTGAACATGGGTTGGATATGTGACGAAATTGACATCATAACCCCAAGGTCACATACTAGAATACGAACATCGACTTCTCCCCCACGCCGACAAGTTATCAAACGTTTCGTTTCCAGCAATCCAGCCTCCGACCGTGCAACTAGGACCATAACACTGTTATCACCTACTTTGTCACCCAATGAAGTGGCTATACCACGTCCTATTCCTTTGCTTGCGCCGGTTATAAGGCAAAACGTACGGACGTTGAAGACATCAGGCATACTGGCCGCCATGTTTGCAACACGTGATTGAATACGGATAATTATACAATGAGATTTTATTGCACGGATTATTTCTATAATGTGCTGGTAATTCGTCCTGTATTCTGTCTTTTAATTCAATGTATCCATTTTTGCATGCTACAATTCATAATTTTAATAAATTGTGATATTAATGTTTGTTGTTACAAGAATATTTAAGTATTTGACAATTTTTCAAAGACACTCTCTTTCTTCTTTAAAGAAACAGCAGTTATATATTTTTTTTAATTAGCTGGTTCTCGAAATAAAAACTACTAGTATTATAAACTGCTCCTCATCTTTAATACATGTATTATTTGTTTTATATTTTTGACAAAATCTATATTTAACCTGTATTTACATATGAAAATTTGTGCTTACAACTCTTTCTAGGGGATTTGGATTATAACACGATCTAAATCCAAGTGCTTCGTCAAGTGCTAGAAACTTAGGTGTCTTGTTTGATTCGCAGCTATCTATGGAAACACACATTTCTACTATTTGTAGATCTGGATATTCCCATCTAAGAAATATTAATCGTATTCGTAAATCATTATCCCAATCTGATACTGAAAAGTTGGTACATGCTTTCATATCTTCTCGCTTAGACAGCTGTAATTCATTATTGTCTGGTCTCCCTGTAACTAAGATAAAACCTCTTATTCGTGTACAAAATGCAGCAGCCCGCCTTGTCACTCGTGCTCGAAAATATGACCACATTACAGACATTTTTATTAAACTTCATTGGTTACCAGTTGTACAAAGAATCAATTTCAAATTACTTTTACTAGTGTATAAATCTTTGTATGGTTTTGCCCCAAATTATCTATGTGAATTAATCGAATTTTATGTACCGAGTCGTAGTTTAAGATCTGAATCGAAGTTTCTTATTAAAACTCGTCAGATGTGTAGTAAAAAGTCCAAGGTGTTATACAAAGACCGTGCTTTTGAAAATTTAGGTCCTAAACTTTTTAATGAATTACCTCTGTCTGTTCGTTCTAGTCCTTCAGTAGACATTTTTAAATCCAGACTGAAAACGCACTTATTTAAATGTGCTTTTAATATTTGACTGATTGTTTATTGTATCAGCGCCTTTGATCTTCATATGTTGGAATTGTTGCGCTTAATTAAATAGAGTTATTATTATTAATAAATGGTAATTTTTATGAAATCATTAAATCCACGAACAGTAACATAAACTACAAGGTCAAGATGTCAAATGGTTTAACTCGGGGGTTTTCAGTCCACATGTAGTGTGAAACAGGGTTGTAATATCTCACCCACATTTTTTAACATATTCATCAATGATCTTCCAGGTCATTTTGGTAAAAGTGGTGATACACCAATCATGATTGGTGATAAACCCTTAAACTCTATTTTATATGCAGACGATCCTGTTTTGTTTTCACAGACTGCAGAGGGTTCACAAAATTGTCTGAATAAATTAGCAGACTATTGTAAAACCTGGAATCTTGATGTGAATGTTAAGAAAACCAAAGTGATGATATTCAACACAAGTAACAGAGTACTGAAAAAACAAATTTTTATTATAGATGGTAAAAACATACCAGTCAAGTTCTGTTATTTGGGTATGATATTCAATCCGAATGGAAAATTTAATACAAACCATTGTATGCTAAAAAATAAATCAATGAAGGCATTATTTGCCATAAGACAAACTATACCGAGTCGTAAAATGATTTCAACTTCATTGTGTTTAAAATTACTTGGGCGGGTGAACTTACAAATTACACAAATAACCTAGAGCAAGTTTGTAATAATTATTATCGTTTTATTCTTGGTGTTAGTAAATTTACACCATCAGTTGGTATAAGGGATGAACTAGGTAGATTACCAGTAAGAATAAATGCAATGGTTTCAAAGGTTAAATACTGGCACAGAATAAATTTGCTTCCTGAAAATCACATATTAAAATGTGCATTAAAGGAAATACAAAATAATTTTTGGCGAAAAAAAAAATGTCTAAAATAAAGGAAACTTACAAGATCAACAATATTAATCAACTAACCACAGTCACTCTACTAGTAGAGTGACTGTGAACTAACCAATGTTGTAAAAATTTGCTATTTTGTAAAAGTTAAATATGTAACTGTGGTCTAGAAGAACCTTGCTGCTGTTTAATAAATTTTTCAAAGATTTTCTAATTTTTCTTTTGTTGAATTTCAGTGTATTTTAATTTTAGTGTTTTAGTGTGTCTTATTTTATTTGTCTTTTGTAATCATTTGTTACCTTACTAAACCCACAGATGGTTAGGTTGCGTAATAAAGTTATTATTATTATTATTATTATTATATGGGGCCGCCATTGGGATAATATTAAGCCAACCGATAACAAAATTCGGCCGAATTCGGCGTTTTTGTGTGGAAAAATCCCTTGCATACGAACACCTAATTACACGAAGAACATAGAACACTTTCCTGGGGTATTTGAAACCGAAATTGTCATCTGACTGTAAGGCCGTCGCTGATTGGCTGCTGAGCTGGAATGACAATTTTCAAACATACAGCTTTGATCTATATGATTCATTTATAATAAATAACTACTGTTCGTGTGTAACACAAAATGGATGCTTACAGAAATGTATAGAAATTGTGGTTACAATAATTTCCCAGCTGTGTACAACAACCACAGTTGGTATGAACATCACACATAGTAGGTTGTTATGACGCATTGTTTTGCCCGGAAACAGGAACGTATGGTTTGACCTTTATGCGTTCATGTGGATGACTTACGTTTCTAGCTGTATCTAGGACATGCTAATTTTGTGCTAAAAGATCATCTTTTCAAAACAAACAATTTTGCAATACTAGAATCCTATCTTGATCGTGTATGTATGGGTTTCGTTCAAACGTAATATATAACGGTACATTTGACATTATGTTACCTTCATGTCATGTTCGACAACAAATCCATGGTGGAATAATAGTTAGGTTATATTGTCTATGATTAGGCAAAAACAAAACAGAAAACTTGTGCTTCCAGAAAAAAGCTAAAAAAAGAGTGAAGGGTAGGTAGATTTGTTTGCTAAACCTATTTGCAACGTATAAGATTTTATGTATAAAGACGTAATATCTTGCCATGACGAAATCAACTAACATAAACAATATAGCCATCCTAGATGATCAAATGATCTCATAAACGTTATTGAAGAAATTGGTAACTTGGCTCATTGATTAAAACAAATTTGCATGACATGAAATTTAAACTTTGTGAAAATTTGAGGAGGTAGCGTTACAAGAAATGCCGATTGTTCTTCTTTGGTCAAACATGTATTACAGAATTTTGTATAGAATGGCGTGTGGGATGTTTTGTGTTGCAGAAAAAATTCTGTAGGGACCATGTACAATGCATAAAGCAGATGTGGATTGTACTTGAAATATTTTCCTATTGTGGTCAATTCACCATTGCTCCCATGCACAAAGGGATTTAGCATTATAATGCGAAAATCATAACTAAACATTATGAAAACTAAAAGTTACGACCAAAAAGTGTTAAAGACGTGCAGGGAAAGAAAATAACATTAAACTTGAATGAAATAACATACAAATAATTGACCGAATTGATGTCCAAAACAGTCGGCAGCAAAGAACATGGTGTTTCGTCACCAAAGACTCGCACTTACTTTCATGTTTTAGGTTACAATACTCGTTATTGTAAATATCAAGAATACTTATTAATAGTAAGCATAAGTAATGAAGACTATAATTATACAATTCATAATTGTTTAAAATTATAAAAGAGCGAACTACAATTACAGATTTTGTTTTGTTTAGGTTATGCTCAATGATAGTCACGTAAATGGCAACGCAATAGCAACATTTACATATATCGAGTTAAAACTCGAGTTGAGGTTTTCATAAAATAACATTCACACTAATTACTTCAATAGAAAAATTGTTTTAAAACTATATATTTAAGAAAGCTTATAATTTACACTAATTAAATCGATGTTACAGTTAAATGCAAATTGCATTTGGTGACGTGACCGCTAAGTATATTCCACTTTTTTTTAAATGTTTAAATTTCTAAACATTATTCATTTTCGCTATAATATATTGTGTTTACATTCAGATTGGGAATCATTAGAATACACAAGTTTAACAAACATCCCTGACAATTTCAGCTACACCAGCGATTTTTCTGTTCAAGATTTTCAATGTTACTTGTCTGATGTAGACATCAGGTCCTGAACTTTTCCCGCAAATTGAAATAACATCTATTCCTGGTAACTCTTGACGGGTAGTAGCGGGAGGTGTACTTAAACATACAAGCTGAACATGGTGATATGATGCTTACCGTGACAACTTGTCTATTAAGAACAGTATGCAATTATGCAAATTGCTAATGTAACGTTCAGTCCATAATAATTCTGTAGTTTGGCTGACTAACCAAATTTTTCTAACATGCGTGAAACATTCCCTAACAAAGACCTAGCATTCTTCATTAATATAGCATATTGGAATATCTCTGGTTCAATGCTAGTGAGGTTAAAACACAGTTTAAGGTAGCGAGACTATTATTTGTGTTGAAAATTACGATTTTCACATTTATTTATTAATTGATGAAATGCACTAAAAACTTTCATGTGATAAAGTCAACATAACATAGAATGTCATGTAAGTTGGTTAAAATGCAGATTTTCTGAAGGGAAGCAAGGCAGCCTCGGTAGTGTTTTCCAAAATCAACAACACAGGTTTAATCTGTGTGCCTATAAGTTTTCAAAGATAA